TTTTAACTAACATTTCAGCAAATTCATCTAGTTAAAAAAAAAACAATTATTATCATGTCTGATATGATGTCTGTCACACAAAAATACACATAAAGCAAAAACTTACAATAGATATAAAAATGTGGCAAAAGGAAGCCAGCTTATTTGGGACGAACTAACACGTTCCTAAGCTGATTTTCATCTCCTTTACAAAAAAGTAAGGTTTGTTTGACTCATCATCATCTCCCCTGCCTTATCCTACTCCCATAAGGTCGGTGCACCGGGTTTTCGTCCTCCAAATAACTATCATCCGCCATCTCAGTCATCACTCCCTTCTTGATCATGTCACCTTTCACAGAATCCATCCATCTCTTTCTATGTCTACCTCTAAAAGTTTGTTTGACTATTGGTTAAAAACTTTTCTTTGAATGAATTTTTAGGTATCTACTTGATAGAAAAAAGTTATTATTAAAAACTATTTAAACACTCCTAAGTTACATACCGCTCTCTGGTGTCGGAGGCCAAGACCCACTTTGGGTCGCTGCGCCAACGCAGTAAGTAAGTTACATACAGGTTTCATAAAAATCTAGACTGAAAGACTAGGCATAGTGTTTCATATCTATAGTGATAGTATCAACCAATACATTTAGACCATCTGCTCTATACATTCCTTGTTCCAAATAGTAAATGTTGAGCGAATAAAACGCATTTAGTTTGTGATCGTCTGCAAACAAAACAACGTCCGCGCGCAATTTGAAAAAATATCCTTTTTAATCCTCGAAAACTAGTGGCCAGTGATATTAATAGAAAGTGATCAGTGTCGAAAAACAAATGGCTTTTGACAAGTGCATTAGTGTTTAAAAAAAGAATAAAAAAGCTTGTGTTGTCACTGGTAAAGATTTTAATTGATCGTCACGAATGTAACGACGTATTTACACATTTAAATTGAGAATACAATCAATCAATAGATAAACAAAAACATCTAGAAGATTCATTTAGCTTGTCAACATGTTTTAATTTCTTCCTTTTAAAACTTCTATAAAATGCTTGTAGTAATTTATACAAGTAAAACAATAGTTATTTACATATTTTATTGTACTTCCCTAAATATAGCAAAATGTTTATATTCCTTGAAATACCTTCATATTTCAACATCCATTTGTTATGACGTAAGCCATTTGACATCTTAACAATAGACAATGACATAATTAAAATAATTATTTTTTATTATCTTAATGCAATTTCATTAAATTCTAACAAATCGTCTTCAAACATTATAGTGTAAAGACATAAATCGCACTTATGTTTTCAAATTTCTTTATTATTTAGTATATTAATGATTTTTTATTTAATCGTGGCTGAATAACGTTATAATTACGGCCGATTAAAAAATCAGAGTTGTGAAATTAGTGCTTTGTTTTGTGTTCAGTCCAAAAGATGGCGTTATTTTGTGAGTATCTAAAAAATATTACTCTAACCTTAATTAAATAATTTCTAGTGTCTTTAGGCGAAAAGTTAATATAATTATTATTCTTTTAATTAGATATCGATTAATAATAGATTCAGATATTGCAAATTGATGCAACTTGCGTGTTATATGAATTATTGATACAAGTAAAATGAAATTGTTATCTGAATATTATCCACATTGTGTCATTGTTTGACAAAAAATATGGCCTATTTACTATTTACACCGACACGCTTGGCACGAAACTAAATAAGTCATTAGTTTTTTAAAAAACATTCATTTCGTAACAAGGTCATATACAATTTTGTCTAATTTACTTGATAGCTAACTATTAACTTGACCTATATAACTAGGAATAATAAATATTACCAGTGTGATAACGACTAATATTAATTCTAAAGTCGTTTAAATTATTAATTTCAAAGAGCCAATATCTTAAGAAATGTAACGAAATAATAAAATCAATTTAAAATCTATTAGGAAAACCTGGAAGCAAACTTCGTTGAAGAAATGACAGTTTGATTTAGAAACCGATTTAAAGAAGCAGTTATTTGAGAAATAGCTCGCTTTAACATCTTCTCACTGTAGGGAGTGCTCGACCCCACCAATACCACGTCCACACAGACAACAGGCGTGAAGTGGAAGCAATTCCGCAGACAGTCTGATGAGTGTGGTGCTGGAGGCCTAATTCTAGTCCCTTCTCCTTTCCACCGTTTTCTTAAGAGGAAATGAAGGAAAAGTGGATTTGACGGTGGAGGAGAGGCATAGGAAGGGGAAATGTCCTCTTTATGTGCGTCTCCTCGTCCGTTAATTAAGGGAAGGCAAAGCATCTGCAATTGCGAATGTTTATGTGCAGCGGTCGCTTTCCATTTCGGTGGATTCAGGTGGCCGCTTGCTCGTTTGCCACCTTGTATTAGTTACATAAAAAGGAGGTTACTATCTCTGCAGTCCTGACTAATGTTTGCTTAGGTCATGGTGGTGTATTACATAGTTTTTTTTTAAATAAAAGGTTAGGTTATATAGTTTAGGATAAGGTTATATAGTTAGTTTGTTGGCTACGCTAGTAGACCTTAATTTAATCCTATTTAATCCTAATTGAAGGCTTGCCAATATTAAAACTGTCAATAGCATCATTGTCTATCTATACTTCTATACTATTATAATAAAGCGTAAACACACACTTCTTTGTTGCCTAAGATGTCAGCAATTACAGCATATTTTTGAATAATTCTTTCTTTAATAAAAAGCCCTACACTTACATCACGCTTTAGGCTATAAATTTTCACGCCATTAAACTTAGGGCGTAAATATTTTGGATATCAACCCTAATGTGGGAGACAGTAAGTTGATGCCAACGTCAAGGAAGCAAGGTTGTCATCATGTCATGTCATTTTGACATTTGTAATTTGACAAATGTAAACAATGAAGTAAAAATTTCATAATTTCATGCGAATGAAGTCGCAAGGGAACAGCTAGTAGACAATAAAAAGCAATCTAAATTATTTGAAGTAACCTTCTGGGTTAGATTATCTCTATAAGAACTGTAGTTACCTCCGACTAAACTATCGCACAATGGTTGTGTGAATGTCGATTGTTTCTCAATTCAACTGTTTAGTTGCACAGCTAAAAATCGAGTAGTGTTCTCCAAGCTCACAGGAATCGAAGCTGATTTACTCCCTTCTTTAGCATATACTCTTTCACACAATCCATAATCCAACCCTTTTATAATCAGGAAATGATTAATCGATTTAATCGACCCATAAATAACTGGCACATTATAAATATCCGCTCCCGATACTCCGGCGAATGCTTTGGCTGGCAACACCGCGGTAAATGTCAACTTACGAACTCACCGCCAAAACTACATTGCTATGCTATATAGCCTAAAGCGTGACGTAAGTGTAGGGGTTTTTATTAAAAAAAAGAATTATTCAAACATATGCTGTAATTGCTAACATCATAGGCAACAAAGAAGTGTGTGTTTACGCTTTATTATAATGGTATAGATTATCATAAACAAAAAAAAATCCTTTTAAAGTGACAACACTAGCTATCTTTTTCAAGTAAAAAAACTCTTTAATTGTACAGCCAGCAATCAGTTTAAAAAGTCAAAGGTAAAACCATACAGCCAGAGTTAGTGTTTAAAACAATAATAAAAAAGAAAACTGTAAAATGAGTGCTGTCCGTTCGGATATCGATACAGACTCAAGTGAGGAGGATGTGGATTCCGGTATTGCGGAAGAAATGCAAGCTAAGCCGAGGAAAGAGATTGATTGTATGGAGCTACAAGATTTCTTTAGTTATTGGTAAGTCTTGATAGTGATCTTTGGATTCCAAAAAATAAATCTAATTTCCCAACCCCTACATCAGGAGTGGTTAACCATTGGCATACGACGTATTTTGAGCACATCTATAATAAAAACACTACGAAAAAAATATGTACAAGTACATAAATGACGTAATAATCGGAATCAAAATTATACGATGTCGCGTCCACGTGCTTAGTAAATATTTAAAAAAAAATAACACTTTGATGCATAAATGTTCACCACCCCTGCCCTATTTGATACATTGAGAACAGGCGCACACCTTTGTCTATAGTTTGTCTAAATAAGATAGGTTAGTTGGATAAACGACGCAAGCAAATGCCATACTTAATAGACAGGTATCGTGACGAAACAAACACGCAGCGAACAATTTTGAACTATCGATATTCAGTTTAAATAATTAACAAACTCAAATAAAATTATTATTTTCTTATTAACTAATTTAGAGGACAATTCTATTATTGATTACAGTGTAGAGAATTTAGCGATGACAGAAATAATAGCGAAATCCAATTCGATTACGTACGGCTGTAGTAGTAATAAACATTTATTTACTCTCATTATTTGTTATGGTCATTATTAATTTGACAAAACATTGTTTTTTTTTATTCATAAGTTATAGCTATGAATCTATCGATTCCAACTTCTATAAGGATAGAAATCGAAAATCGATAAGATTCATGACTGATTTTACACAACCCATCTCTACTAAATTTGAAGTGAATTCTCAAACTGATCTAAATTATTTAGACACACTATAAACAATCGCACAACTGTGTTGCGATTGTCGATTGTTTCGCAAGTCAACTGTTTAGTTGCATTAAAATTGAGTAGTCCATACAAGCTTACAAGAATCAAAGCGAGACTAAACAGTTATGTTTAAGGTGTGCGCTCGGTCTTAAGCATGTTTCATTTGTTTTGGAGGCCTAATTTTATAGTGGACTAGCTGTTCCCGTGCGACTTCATCCGCACCAAATTAAGAAAATTTTATTTTGTTTACATTTGTCAAATTATCAATTACAAATGACATGACATGATGACAACCTTGCTTCCTTGATGTTGACAGCAACTTATGGTCTCTTTCCCACGTTAGGGTTTTTATCCAAAATGTTTACCCGCTAAGTTTAATGGCGTTAAAATATATAGCCTATAGCGTGACGCAAGTATAGGGCTTTTTTTATTAAAAAAGAATTATTCAAAAATATGGTGTAATTGCTGACATCTTAGGCAACAAAGAAGTGTGTGTTTACGCTTTATTATAATAGTGTAGACATAGATTTAAAGGTGGGGAAACATAGGAAGGGGAAATATCCTCTTTATGTCTCTTCCGTTAATGGTATCTGAAATTGCGGATATCTTCACAGAGGTCGCTTCGCCTTTTTGAATACAGGTGGCCGCTAACTCGTTTGACGCTTTATAATATTAAAAAAAATGCACCAAACCTTCATTTGCTTTCTATTGACAAATGAAGTGCTATTAACCGACTTCACACAGGATGTTTTTATCACGTTTGTTTTTTTTTGTTGGGTTTCAAATTAAATAAGTAATATTACAAACACAGTATATAATCTTTTATTGTTTTAAATATTACAAAAATACGATAAACACGTTATGACATTCATTCTCCCGTCATACCTGAAAAATAAGAATGATTACTAAGTGAGGAGTTTAGAGGACAGAGCGAGCTGTCGGCGTACTGTGGACGACCTCTGCCCCATTATGGTCATAGGAAAAGAAGAGAGAGGAGTTTAAACCCTGCAATTATTAAGAAATGTTTCTTTTCTCTTTATGGTACTAAGTGGGCGCACACATTTGAATAAACCATCGCACAACTGTCATGTGATTGTCGATTGTTTCCCAGCCTTCAACTGTTTAGTTGACAAACTAAAAATCGTGTAATGTTCGCACTGTATCTGCTCATAGGAATCAAGTTAACAGTAGAGCCCGGTTTAACATCTTCGCACGAATGGGCCGGCACGCCCGGTGTAATACCACAACCACACAGAAAACAGGCTTGAAGTGGAAGCAATTCCGTGTACAGTCTAATGAGTGTGGTGCCGGAAGCCTAATTTTAGTCCATTTCCCGTTCCACCCTTTTAAGAGGAAAGGATGGGAAGGAATGGATTTGACGGTGGAGACGCATAGGAAGGGGAAATGTCCTCTTTATGTGCGTCTCCTCCGTCAATGAAGGGTAGGCAACGCTGCAATTGCGGATGTTTATGTGCAGCGGTCGCTTTCCATTTGGATTCGGGTGGCCGCTTGCGAGTTTGCTACGTGATATTATAAAAAAAATCAAAGCTTAAGCAGTTGTGAGATTTCAGATATGCGCACGCTATAAGTCTATGTCTTACCTCGTTAACTTGGACCAAACATTAATTATGGGGCATATAGAAGCCGGAGTCAGGTACAATATTGATTTCCCCTTCATCTCCAGAAGTAACTTGAGCGCTGTGCGTTCTTAGATGGCCGCCGTGACCACTATCATCAACTACGTGTACACCACCGTGACCACTGTCGTCAACTACGTGTACACCACCATGACCGCTATCGTCGACTACATGTACACCACCGTGACCACTGTCGCCAACTACATGTACCCCCCCATATCCACTATTATCTGCGACGTTCACACCGTATCCACTGTTGTCGACCGTGTTAACACCATAGCCACCACCGGCCACGTGTAGTCCACCACGATTGCCATCCTGTAAGAAAAATATTCTAAGTTTTAAGAAGAGAAAAGATTTGTATTTTTGTATGTATTGGAATAACTCAAAAACTACTTTGCCGATTTTAAAAATTCTTTCACCGCTAGAAAGGTAATTTATCTGTGAGTAACATAGGCTATACTTTTTATTATATTAGTATAGATACTGATAGATAGGGTAAAATCGCATTTCGCGAACGCAAAATGTTTCAATAGTCATGATTTGTCAAATCCAACGACAGTCACGTTATTTAGGTATATTTAAAACTAACTCTTACTCACGACTTCATCCGCGTGATATTAAAATATAGCCTATCATAGTCACTGATAACGTAGCTTTGTAATGGTGAAAGAATTTATGAAATCGGCCCAGTGTTTGAGTTATTTCAATACATAAATTCAAATCATTACCTAAACTTCTATACTAATATTATAAAGAGGAACTATTTAACTATTTAACTCAAAAACTACTTGCCCGATTCTAAAAATGCCATCACCATTAAAATCTACATTATCAGTAAGTAATATAGCCTATGTTTTTCATTTAATTTCACGTCGACGTAGTCGCGAACAGGCTCGTAATATTGGTATAGTATAGCATTTGAGATTGTCTGTTTTTATGGTAATGCTAAAGTCACATCCCTACCTGAGCACCGTTATTCCCATTGTTAACAGACACAGATTCAGACATCCTGGAAATAATTCTTACTGAACAGTACAAATTCTAAGCACTAAATGCACAAAGCCACGTATCATCACTTAAAATTTCTTATCTACGTGATAAAACATCGATAATAAAAATACATAAACTAGGGACTTGACACAATGTAGATTAGATTTTAATGACACTAGTAAATATTTATTGTTATCGTTTTGCTGATTGTATATGCATTGAGAAAGGATTATGTTACATGATCCCCCCTTATAGTCAAGAAATGTAAAATTTATATAGAAACTACTTAAGACCATAATAATGGTATCTCCTCGATAAATCTATCTAGATGGTTGACGACGCCCATGAGTACAAGTATTGCAAATAAAATCATTTAGACAGTCTACCTCTGTATAAAATGTAATGTTTACGCGGAAAAGATATTCATTTCGTCGTTTTTTTCTTGATAATATAAGGTGGCAAACGAGCATGCGGCCACCTGAATGCACCAAAATGGATAGCGATCGCTGCTCATAGACATTCGCAATTGTAGATGCGTTGCCTTCATTGACGGAGGAGACGCACATAAAGAGGACATTTCCCCTTCGTATTTTAGAGAAGTAATAAAAATGTTATGAAACATTGATAAAATTTGTCTGCGACGGACAAGTTCAAATATTTCGTAGTCGGACTAAACTGGGCTTGTATATTATCATTTCCTTGGTATATCTTGGAACAGATAAATCAGTTCAAGCAAAGGATTACGATAAACAAACATAACATGTTTTTAATTATTACATACCTGTATTTCATCTATACTATTATAATAAAGCGTAAACACACACTTTTTTGTTGCCTAAGATGTCAGCAATTACAATTTTTGAATAATTCTTTTTTAATAAAAAGTTGTACACTTACGTCACGCTTTTGGCTATATATTTTCATGCTATTAAACGTAGGGGGTAAATATTTTGGATAAAAACCCTAATGTGGGAAAGAGACCATAAGTTGCTGCCAACATCAAGGAAGCAATTGTCATATGTGCATTTGCATTTTGACATTGGACAGACGTAAACAATAAAATAAAGTTATTATATTTCATGCGGATGAAGTCGCACGGGAACAGCTAGTTTTGTATAAATATGTATATGTTGACGGAAATGTATGAAATCCGTCATTGTACACAATTTCTAGGCAATGTATAACTCCTAAAACCGCTTGGAATTATTGAGAACCCGTATACTATCTAACAATTTTATACATAGAAAAAAATTGTTTTCATACTTTGCTCATTGCTATTTTTGAGTTTTATACAATGTCTGGAAAATGTGTAAATCTGGTAATTACACATATTACGCTTTAACATCTTCCACGAATGGTACGGCTTGCCCGTGTAATACCACGACCATACAGAAGACAGGCGTGAAATTAAAGCAATTCCGTGTTTCGTCTGATGAGTGTGGTGCCGGAGGCCTGATTTTGGTCCCTTTTCCTTTCCACCCTTTTCTTAAGAGGGAGGGATGGGAAGGAAAAGTGGACTTGACGGTAGAAGAGATGTATAGGAAGAGGAAAAATCCTCTTTATGTGCGTCTCCTCTACCGTCAATGAAGGGTAGGCAACGCATCTCCAATTGCGGATGTCTATGGGCAGCGGTCGTTTTCCATTTCGATGGATTCAGGTGACCGCTTGCGATTTTGCCACCTTATATTATAAAAAAAATATGTGTATTTAATAATCTTTGAAATATTTTACACATTGCCAAAACAGCTTCGAAATTCTATACTTTTCCTAGACAAAGTATAGAGTTCCTATTTATCACACATATCCGGTAACATATATAGTAGCAGCTTTCGTCCGCGACTACGCACGCGTAGTATTAAAAAAAGGGTTACAATTCTTCCACACATCATTTTTATGTAAGTCTTATTTATAGTTTAGGCTACGTAAGCAAAGAAAGCAAAAATGACCCTAAATTTTGTCAGGCGATTTTGAGCTAAACTATTTAACTACGTCGTAGTCTTTGACTCCAAAAATCAATAAAAAATGGAACCCACCTAGAAGCATTACCTTTCGGATAAAAAAAGAATTATCAAAATCGGTCCACTAGCGGCGGAGTTATGCCGTAACAAACATAAAAAAGAACAACATACAGACGAATTGAGTACCTCCTTCTTTTGGGAAGTCGGTCAAAAAGGTCTATTTCAAAATATACTCTATATCTATGCCTTTAATCGAGATCCGTTCAGTTTAAGCTACAAACTCTAACATCCATCTAAACTTTCGCATTTATAAGATAGCATATAAAATGACATAAGAAACGGACGCATTAATAATTTGCAAACGTTCGTTTACCGACGATTGTAGTGTAACCATAAATAATCTAAACTAAGCACTTGATTTGTTATTTTGTCCTGGGTTCCAACACCAGCGATAAGACTCGCCGGAGCTCGAATTTATTTATTTTATTTATTGGGAAGTTACACTAATTGCATATACAAAGTACACGACCAAATTAAATATACAAAAAAAAAATAAAACATACAAACGACAGGCGTAAAACTTTAATTAGTTAGAACTAGTGTTTATGATACAACTTTTTCTTTTTGTCAATTGTAAATATTTTAATTATGAGAAACTAGCTTTCGCCCGCGACTCCGTCGGCGTGGTATTAAAAAAACAAAAACAAAAATAAGTACCCTATGTGTCCTTCCATACTCTGCTCTACATCTATGCCAAATTTCATTCAGATCCGTTCAGCCGTTTAGACTACAAACGCTAACAAACATCTATCCATCCATCCATCTAAACTTTCGCATTTATAATATTAGTTAGGTTAGTTAGATTAATCTTACAGGATTTAAATAAGTAAATAAAAATAAAAACATTCCCGAAAAAATACAACGTAAAGATGGTCATCGTAGCGGGTTAGAAAAACAATAAACATTACAAATAGAGTCGTCTCGCTCTCATAGTGAAGATACTAGTTTGATAAAACCGGTAAATGTGTACGGTATCGGTTTTATATTTTTTTATTATAGATTTATTGTTATCGATTAACTACCGTTATCTATGCTATTATAATAAAGCGTAAACACACACTTCTTTTTTGCCTAAGATGTCAGCTATTACACCATATTTTTGAATAATTCTTTTTTTTTAAAAAAAAGCCCTGCACTTACGTTATGCTTTAATCTATATATTTTCAAGCCATTAAACTTAGGAGGTAAATATTTTGGATAAAAACCCTAATGTGGGAAAGAGACCATAAGTTGCTGCCAACATTAAGAAAGTAGGATTGCTAAGGTTTGTCATGTCATGTCATTTTGACATTTGCTATTGATAATTTGACAAATGTAAACAATAAAATAACATTTTCATAATTTCATGCGGATGAAGCCGCATGGGAACAGCTAGTATCTTATAGAAGTGAATAGATATTTAGTTACATACTAGTATATTGGATTTTTTAATTAAAAATCTTACTAGTATAATAAATGCGAAAGTTTAGATGGATGTTTGTTAGAGTTTGTAGCCTAAACTGCTGAACGGATCACGATGGAAAGCATATTTGTAGAGCATAGTCTGGAAGAACACATAGGCTACTTACTTTTTTTAAAATTCCATGCGGATGAAGTCAAGGACAAAAGGTATACGATATTAAATTGTACACTAGTTTATTAGACCATAACTTAAATAACATTTTCATCAATTCGGGGAATTTCCTCAAGAATCGGATACAAATTTTTCGCTACTGAAATAGAGAGCGTCGGTGGCTCAGTGGTTTAAGCACTTGACTTTTAATCTACAGGTCTTGGGTTCGAATCCCTCCATAGCAATGTGATTTTCGATTTTTCGAATTTTCACATGTTCATAATTTACCCGACGTTCTTACGGTGAAGGAAAACATCGTGATGCCTACACATATCGGCGAAGAAATTCAAAGATATGTGTGAAGTCAACCAACCCGCATAGCAGCGTGGTTGACTATTGCCTAGTTACCCCTTAGGGTAGGCTCTGAGCCTGAATAAATTTCTACAACAATACATTTCTTGAATTAAAGGTTGTTGTTACTGGCGACACAAAAAAACTAAATATTATTCATCCCCTCGCTCCACTGAGTCACTCAGCAGTCAGCACCCGACACGAACCAACCGCGAAACGCACACCGCAAATAAGTTTTCTATTTACGATTCAGTAATTCGAAACTCAACAGTCTTTCGTACGCCGAATCACGAGCGGACGTTGGCCGGCGTCACTTTGACAGTTATTTTGGCGCGAATTTTAAAAAAAGATGGCGTCCTAACGCGTTCGGATAATGGTGTTGACAAAACAATATCACGTGATAACTGTGGAATTTTATACAAGTAAGTTTATTTATAGAAATAATAAAATTTATAATCAATTATGCATTTTATTAATTAAATTAAATGTAGAGAATAATTTAGAGTTAAATGTTTTTTTAATTAGTTTTTGATTCTCTTAGAAATTGTTAACTGTTACGATAGAAATAGTAACGATGTTTTGTTGGTTATTTAGTTAAATAAAACGAAGTGCTTTTAAAAAATACGATAAATTGTAACCGAAATTAATGCTTCTATTGAAATAATTAAAATAATTTAAACTAGAACGATAATACTTTGGAAATAAATGTTTTCAACGATAGTGTTTTTAAAATGTAGATTTGCATTAAATTTTTGGTGTTGATGGTTGTTGGTTTGTAGCCTAAACTATTGAATGTAGAACTCTGAAAGAACACATAGGCTTTAGTTTTTTTAAATTCCACGCGGTCGGAGTCACACGCGACAGTTAGTCCTTTGTAATTTCCTCATCTTTAAAAGCATGCGAATTCGCTTTGAATAATAACCTCAATACTTTTTTTATTCATCGACTGATTTTATAATCGATTTGAATAATTTGCGAATCGTGGGCATCGAAACTGGAATTTAGAATCGGTCACATTTTTTGTTAGGTTCCGTATACAATAAAGTTTTAAATAAAAACAAAGGAATGCCGCCTTCATTTAGATTTTAATTTTCAATTTCATTACAACTTTGAAATTAAATTAACAGTAATGTCATTCTTGGCGGACATTACTATTTTTTC